CTATTGGTGGAGATGCTATAAAGTTTCAGTGAAATGGCTGTATATGTACTTTTAACATGACTAAGAATGTGCTTTTTTCCTTATTGCAGCATTAGAAATAACAGAATTGCTGAACTGAGGCTTAAACTATAGGCGTCACTGTTTGTTCCATCTATAAAAAAAGAACAAAACAAATGTTTCTAGAAGTGCCTTTGATATTGGCTTGCTTTTAAAAGGCCAGTTTTGCTCTCTCACCTACAACTGTCTTTGCTAAGAAAGGGACCCTTCTATACGAACACAAATGCTTGGTGTAGCCCTGACTGGCAGGAGTTTCCTACAGACCCCCTTGCTCCTCCTGATCCTACACTATAGTCTGAGTGCGAGTGGTACAAAGGCTTCCTAAAACTAAGCCAGCGCTTGAACTCTATGTTGCAATTAGTATAACTATTTTGTGATATTTTCTTGAAGCAGATTTGTCAGTTATTTCTCTCTAATGTAGATCTGATATAAGGTAGCTTCTACTTGTAAAGCATATTCTCTTTCCTTCATGAGCTGAACAGCAGTGACTGTATAGTAGCTATGCCTGTGTGATTAAAGTTTTAAAACTGTCAGCATTATAAAGGCCTAAAAATGTGTGAACTTTCTTTCTTGAGGGTTTATCTCTAAAAAAAGATGAAGCTAGGCCTTAATTTGGCTTCCAGTCTTTGTGGGCGTTTATCTTTTTAGAGAACTAGACAACCCCAAGTATGAAGAAAAAAACCAACACATTTGACGTACCATATTTTGGAAACATATTTTTGCTTTAATTTTTGAATTTGGGAAATCAGCGTGGTTTGCTAGAAAAAGTAGCCTTATGACAAAAATACCTCAACAAAGTCACCGAAGGGAAACCCGGCTGGAGATTAGACAGTTAGGTGCTAATCAGAAACTAAAACACTGACACTGACACTTCTAGTGTCACCAAGATGCTAGACTTATCTGCTAGAGATGGAGACTGCAGACGTGTTTAAAACTTGCCGAGGTGTTTTGCTCTGAGGGGAACTGCAGTACAGTTTTAGGGAGGGAGGCTTTAAAGAAATAAGTTCAAAAGGACACTAAGTTAGCACAAAAGCTTTAGATTGTGGCAGAAATTACTTAGGAAAACAGCGTTTCACATTTTCAAATAGAAAAGGAAACAACATAGCAACAAACAAGTATGACAAATGCTCAGCTTTCAAGGAGATGTGAGTCCCGCAGGCCTCTTTCAAACATAGGAATATATTCTGCAGGAAGTCAGTGGAAAGAAGAGTAAATTGTAGAACATCATCAAAAGGGAGAATTATGAGGGCTAGGACAAAATCTGAAGATCAAACAACCAGACACATATTAGAAAATTATTTTTATTATTATTAAATAATTATTTTTATTTCAACTGTGCAGGAATCCTCTGAGAGAATAAAGTGCATTTACAAAACAGATTGATTGTATTTTT